ATTGCCATACGTAATAACTATACAACCATTCTCCATATCGTTGTCTGATTATAAAAGTGGCGGTCGATAACATTACAGTTAAAACTCAGACACCAGCAATTGTTACCCTGTAGGCCCACTTTTTGATGAGGCGATGCCTGAAGGGACGAATTGTCGCATGCATGCGATCTAATGAAGTTACTGTCAAAAGACCTTTCAAAGAAAACAAAATCATAGTCATTTTTCCGAGTCTACTTTCGTACAAAAGTGAACAATTTCACTCGGTTAACGGCGCTGAAATTTTTCATGAAAATATGAAGATGGCCCACGTTGCTTGGCTCGGCCAATCCTTGTATTTAAATATTTTTCATTGCACTAAAATATGTCAATGTAGGCATATATAGTGAGGAGGAGAGAAACACGCGCTACTTGAAACAACCTACATCAGAAACATGTGAAAGATCTCGTGGCCACTTCCGACTGTCCTATAGCTAAAACGTGGTCTAGGTATAGAACTTAGGTTTATTCGGTTCTTAAAGATTAGATATCTGTTACACCCAGCGCCGGCTTTCTCCAATATTCTTCAAAAACCATTTTAGGATATTTTTTTAGATTGTTTTCAAAGCTTTGCAAATACGTTCTAGAAAACGCTGTAAACTTTTAATCTGTTCGGTCCGTCCTAGGGCGTCCAAAAATCTTTGATACTTTAAATTTTAATTTTTTACTGGAAACTAACCATTTTGCAATACCCCTTTCCGTTATTGTTTCCAAAGGCGAAAATTTTAGAAGTCCGGCCTTTTTTACGAAGTGGTGACTAAACCTTCAGAAAATTGTAGAACAGTTAATAGACTGAAACTTCGAATAACTTATATGAATTTCATCTGGAACTTTTAACCCAGTTTCTCGAGTTATCTATAGAAATTTCCAGAAAAAAATGATTGTGCTTAATCTCCTAACAGACTGAAACAGTCGTTGGGTTCCCTTACTACACTTGAAAAGATCTGAAGGTCCACTGAATGTCCTGAACCGCGGTCTAAGTAGGACTTATATTTGCTTCTTTAAGATTAGTATATCTATCGCTCTATAACTGGTATGTTTAACATCAAATTTATGCTCACTGACTGCCTGATACCGCAGTAAAAACCTTTAATATGTTTCGTTTTGTTCTAGCCTGTTCACAGACCCTCTATTTTCTCTTCAAAGTCCATCGAGCGCGCGTGATAAAAAACAAAAACCGCGGGGGATTTACTGAGCGCCAGCGGAAGGGGTTAGGGGTGAGGAAGGAGAAAATTCTTTATTTTTCTTTCTTGCGCTCCTCGCTCGTTCTCGCTCACCAATGTTTTCGAAAAGAACGAAAAGAAAAATAAAACAACGTCTGTGTACAGGCTATTTTTAATTTGTTCAGCTGTTTCGTTTTGTTTATAAATAAATAACTAACCTTGCGTAAATGCTTTGCTGGGTGTCCCCACTGATGAAGCGAAAAAGTATGTAAATAGTTTTTGTTTCGAAAATATCAGTTGCACGTCTGTGTTGGAGGCAAGTCCAGCGAAAAATAATCTTTCCTCGATTTATACGTTCTTATAAATTATCTGCACACTGCATCTGTTTTGGGAAATAATATTTCACTATTAAAGCTTCCGTAATTACCATGAATAATTGTCTTGGCCATCATTTTTTACCCCTAAATATATCTACCCCCACTAAATAACTAAAAATTTGCTGCTGAATTATGCTTTTTGTTAACTTGAACTTCCTTGTTTTAATCAGCCCACAACCAATCGACCCTATTTGATGGACACCTACAACGATTATTTCGCGGCGTCCGTGTATCATTCAAGCAGGACACGAGCTGTAGTTTCTCTAGGTGTCCTTACAGTTTCAATTTATAACTTATTTCATGTCGATAGTTCCTGAGTTTTTCTTGAATTTTTTTGATAAAATTATGCCAAGTAAAACAGAAGTGCAAGATAGTACAGAAGAGAACACAATTTACTATTAACAGATCCTTTGGCCTGCGTAGGGACTGGCGGCGACTGAATGAGTTCCTCTCGCCAGGGCACCGCTATTATTTGCGCGCCAAAACTTAATTTCTTTTAGTTTTTTGATTACACTATGTGCATGAATCCCATTGGAATAATTAGACCTTTCCTGTTTTGTGCTCTTATTTTTAAGCATGTCACATAAGCCGCTGCGGTTATAAAAATGTTTAGGTTTTATCTGAATTGTAACAATTTAAACCTTCTTCCTTCATGTCTGTAAAGTAGCTATTTAGCTAAGCACATTTGACCGCGTTAAATAAAGGTTATAGCATTTTATTGTATTGTTTTGTATTGTATTGCACTGCAATTTGCATTGCATTGCTTTGCTTTGCATTTTATTGAATTGTATTGTATTGTATTGTCGCCCAAACATTTGTGAGATCGCCTCCAAAACAAAAAAATTCCGATTTAATCCCGAAATATTTGGCAGTCTCATGATTCTTATGTTTTTCGACCACTCAGTAATGTCATGGTAATGTTCACCTGTTTCAAAGTAATCCACGCTTTCAAGCGATAGAATTCGTGGACCGACACTTTTCGGAAAAGCTCTAAATTTAATCTTTCCTAAGCTTTCTTCGCAAAACATGCGTGGCTTCGATCACGCAACGATTCTTAGTCCCAGTTTCCACGTTCTCCGCTAGGAACGCCTGGCACCCCCTTTTGAGTCCTAAGGGACGGACCATTAAAAAAGTTATGGGGCGGGGGGTGGGGAATTTTCGAGCCGCAGGAATTTTTTTTGTTATCAAATTCCTTGTCTGAATTTTTCTAGGCCATAGCATGAATATTTTTTCATTTAATTTTCCCTTGGGCGAATATTTTGTTTTGGACCTCGCCCGCCCAAACCCCCGCCCCCCCTCCACCCCGTAAGTTTTCTTATGGTCCGTCCCTAAATACGAAACGCGTTGCAGATTATGAATCTCGCTGCCTTCGCAAGGGAGACTCCAAATTAACATACATTTTACGTATTAACTGAGGTTTACCGACAACCGACAAGTGGACCCCCCCCCCCCCCGCCCAATTCAGACCCTCCAAGTAAAAAAGAAGTGCAAGATGTACAATCGGCGACAAAATTAAGTGAGACACTTAGGTCAAAACAACATCTCATAAGCATGTTTTTATTTACTAATTAAAAATAGTGCTTAATACCAATCAGTAACCCCTTCGTCATTTTTGTACCGTTGGTCATAAGGTTTGTGGGTAGTCGCAAACGACCCAACTTCGTCAAGAGGGTAGGGGTGGGGGTATCTTTGCTCAAGGTACCTCAAAATACTAACAGATTGTTTCGTATTTATGTGTAAGTTGCTTTCTGCTTCAAAGAATTCTCTCTTTGATTTAATGATACAAAGCAGTTTGTGCACCTACAGAAGAAACGTTTCGAGGAGAATAAAAATGGCAAAGTACACAGTTTTCTTGGGCTCTGTGTCTCGTCATCCGTTTTCTTGTTTCCTTTTTTTCTTCCTCCAAAATTTAATAGCGTACATTTTCCTTACGCGAAAATTCCAGCAGCTTTGACGAGAAGTCGTCTCTTCATTTAAGTGTATACTTCATTTATTGCACGATTGTTGCATATTTACAGTGTCAGATAAGTTATCATATTTTCAGAAGTTGTTTACAGAATGATAAAATCTTTCTTAATTCGATACTTAGAACACTAGGCACCCTAGAAGATTAACTATTAAGCCGGGCCGTTTTTAAAACAGCCCGATCAGCCTCTATTAAGCGACCAACCTCAAGTGGCTACAGCCCTGTGTGCCAAAGGTTTTTTATCGCGCGCGAAGCGATCAACTGCAGAGGGGATGATTCGGGGTCGGCCGTGGGCCGAAGAAGCGAGAGGCGAAGGAGCAAAAAAGAGACGCAGGTCACTGTATAAAGATATGTCAGAAACGGGAAACCGCGCATGAAAAGACTCTGGCATTCAGGGTGGGTGACCGCTAAACAGACATTACTTGAAGAAATAAATAGACCCCTGGTTCCAAATGACTGAGATTATACAAGACGAACATTCTCCGTATGAATGACACAACTTGTTCAGAAAAATTTAGTCTTGACTATGATTCACACTTTGATTCGAAATCCGATCTGTGTCTTAAACAGAAAACACGTGAAGCGAGAGAATCTAACTACGTTGACAGTAGAGGTTAAAAGGTATGATCACCCATCAGGGTAAAAAAAAATGACACGATGAACGATAATACCATTCGTCTATAAAAGCTGCTATAGATAGTCTTAAAATTCGTTAATAATTCACTCCAAAAGTGCCGTGAATATTCAGTCCTTGCTGTCATAAAACTTGGTGAGAAATTCTTTGACTACTGATCACCAGAATTATCAAAGTACGAAAAGGGATATCTAAACAACTTTGAATTCAACTGAAATGCGCTTGAGTTTTTCGAGATGAGAAACTTATTTTGGTGTGGATAAGATTGTTTCAATAACCCGGATGTTCGTGGATTTAACTATTATTATTATAGTCAGTCGCCGTTTCTAACTTCAGTTCGCCCGTCCAAACGTGTTTAAACAGGGGCACCCAATGGATCTGTTCCTCAAAATATCTGTTCTTCCGGCACATTTTTGCTGGCTGGGAGATGTGGAAGAAATAATAGTCCTTGGAAGGACAGTGTTGCTGGGAAAAAGATAATTCAGGGTTTCAGAGGGCATTTGAAGTCTAGAATACCTGCTACGGGTCACTTGTTTGGGTTGCTTACCACTCAAGATCTGAATTGTGCCCTATGAAACTTCCCAGTAAGTCAGGTTGCAGGTTGTAAGTTTGCTGGCTGGGAACTCTTCCATCAGTCTTGCAGGGAGTGAGGAACAGATAATTTTTTTCCAGCAATCTCCCAAAATGCTTAAAATAGTCTCAGAAAACTTTATTCACGCTTTGTTGTTGTTTTTATATTAGGTCTTTCTCTCAAAATTTCTCGTTGGGTGCCCCTGTTTAAACAGGTTAAACAGGTCCAATTTGTCTACGCAAATTTAACCAGTTTAAAAAATGGCCAGAGGCTCCATCGTCTCGGAGCCTCCATCTGGTTCCACTAAAGTATCCCAGTGCGTTAGACTTCCACGATTGAAGATTCTTTTCATGCTGTACTCCTCGCGACTGGAATTGCCTCCTTCACACTAACTCTAAGCTCTAACATAAACTTCAACGACTAACCGATGAAGTAGTTTAACTAGCTACACAGAACTCCAAACGCCGTCAATGACTGTAGTTTAATAGCTGGAAATCCTATTCAGCTTTAATGAGCTGAAACCTTTAATGGTGGCGCGAAAGGTGAATGAATAAAAAAAGCCTGAAAATCTAATACGCTCTGACCGCCAAATTTTTTGACAGAGATGAAGGCTCCGGGATTCCTGATAGGGTGAAGACCATTTGACGCGCAGAGGTCTGCCATTACACATCCTAATGACCTTTCTGTTTGTATTTTATAAACCTCGCCAAGTTCACTCTCGCGGCATCTATAACAGGATAGTGATCCCCAAGAGTTCTTCTCTCAGTTTTTACCTGAAAAACAACATATGCGATTCTTAGAAAAGAGTACTTCTCTTTGAAAACAAAGCTTATAGTTAGTCCAACTTTTTCAACGACGCACGAATTCGGTGTTTTAAGATTTAAAGTAAAACCAAAACAAAATTACGAAACTGCATTCAAAAATCAGTTGAATACCATTTTATTTGATACGATTAGGTAGGTAAAGGTGATTAAACCAGGAGAACATTTCGAGACATTTTGTACTCTAATTCCTCGTCACTTCCTAAACTGCAAGAAAATGACACTCAAATCAGGGAAGGGTGAAATTGGCTATTTTTCAAAGAAAAAGTTAAGAAGGTGATGTTTCCGGCGCTAGCCACTCAATTGATATGGTCAAACTAAGGAAAACTGGCTTGTATGTGACTTTTTCATGTATAATATAACTGAGGCATACGCCCCCCGCGTACATTAAACTGTTTCTTACCCTAGCTTTTAGAACTGGTACCAACTGTTGAAGGTTGATCATGAGACCAATAGAGTCTGCAGCAGCGTTAACCAGCGGTCCGTCGGCGAAAATATCAAAAATGGCGTCCAAGGCTTCACATATCACCCAGAGACTGTATTGACCCACCACAATATCACGGAAGACAGTACCTAAAGACTGATAAAAAAGAACCTTGGGTGATTCTTAGGATCCCATGAAAAACAGCACTAAGAAAAAAAAACGGCAAAGCCCAAAGATGAGAGACAGAAAATTGTGAAATCCGCCCTGAACCTTTTTCGCTAACAGTCAACAATTCATGACAAATGGCTCTAACTTTTGACTCAGTGGATGACGACCTAATTGCGCTGTTTTCGCCATGGAAGCAAGAAAACTATTCAGTTGCTCTAAATGTACAAGTAAAAAGCATTCACAAATTATACCTTACACTGTAATTTTCAGGGAGTTATAATAACTCCTCTAGTGGGGCTAATTTAACTCCTTACAGTGGAGTTATTTTTCGTGGAGTTATTTTAACTCCAAAAAGGAGTTTAAAGAACTCTTTTTCAAGAGTAAAAGTGACCCCAGATATTGAGGAGTTAAAATAACCCCAAAAAAGGAGTTATCCTGTACCTAAAATTTTTACTCCACTTTCAGAGTTAAATTAACTCCAAAAAGAGTAAAAACAACCCCTGTAAGGAGTACAAGTAACCCCATTTCGGAGTAATTTTAACTCCAAGACTGGGAGTAAAAAGAACTATTTTTCAGGAGTAAAAATGACCCCAAATTCGGAGTTAAATTAGGAGTTAAAATAACCCCAAAAAAGGGGTTATCCTGTACCTAAAATTTTTACTCCATTTTTGGAGTTATAATAACTCCCTAAAAATTACGGTGTACATAACATAAACTTGATCTAGGGCTAATTTAATCATCTTCCGAGATCCTCCATTAGTGTTGTCTAAATAAAGATAATTAAAAGGGGAAGCAAACCTTCAGGATCTGCAGCCTGTTGTCTTTTCTGGCGGCCATCTTGCCGATGAATCCCAGAATGCTTATCAGCTTGACTTTCACCGCTTCACATGAGGTTTCGACGGTAACACGGCACAATACGGTCACATGTTTAGCTGTTATACACTACAAAAAAAACACCACACAAATTCAGCTTTCACCTATGATCAGCTGCTCAATGTGTCTTGCAAACGAGCTAGTTTAAACCCATCTTCAACAAATCGGGTTGTTCCAGGTTGTGACAAGTCGCAGAAATTAGAGAATAGTTCTACTTTTTGTAACAAAATCTGTCCGGGTTGCGCGTTTTACTGTCCCAAGGCAAAGTCATTTTGTAGCAGGTGATTTATCTACCGTGTATTGCGCGACTCCTGCCTAATTTTAGCCAATAAGAAGTCAGTACTTACGCAACATGCAACAAATTGTACTTACACATGGTGCTACTTGTTATTCAAATTTTCACAAAATGAAATTTGAAAATTTGGTCGAAATTTGCTTTTGGCTAAATTTGGCAGTGAAAGGGTTAAGGAACTCTTTTTGGCAGTATCGATGAATATTCCCTAACTGGCCCCCACCAAACGTTAAAAAAACCGTGGAAGGGTCCATTGTATAGAATTAGTACAAAACATTTCCACTTACTTTCAGCGGCAAAAGTTAGAGTGAACAGCGAACACCACAACTGTTCAAGCGCCACCTCTCCTCCTAGTAGATCATCGTCTATGGCTGTCACTATATATATTGTTGAGACAGATCAGTGCTCTCGCTTGTACCGTACTTAAACTAAAGGCAAAGATTTATACTGATTTAGAACAAACTACCCATTTAACTCAAAAGCGTTCGTACTAGAGGCTACACTCACAATCTCATTGAAAAAACATGAATTACCTCGGAGGTTAAATTTGCCGAACAGAAGTCGGCTTTACTAAAAAAAAAATGAAGTGTGCAAAAAAATTCTGCTCTTTGTTCAGTTACAAGGTAACCCCGCCCGCCGTTGCTTCACCCAAAGAACATGTTTATGAGCAAATGACATATAATCCAGCCTTTACAGAGAGAAATATACAAGAAGCCAACGCCTACCTCCTAGAATCTCGTCCAGGGCAAAAATGTTTGGTCACGTATCACACTCTAACGAGCTTGTACGTATGTGTTTGACATGTCAACAATTTGACTTCAGCAGCGCCGTTTGGACCTCCGATAATCTGCATATGATGTCCAGCTGATATTTGCGAACAATGGGAAAGGAATTTATCTCTCGGTTCAGTAGACGTTAGTGGGGCAGGAACGCGTGACGAACCCCTACGAACGTCTGCGTGGGAGGCTACTGGAGCGCGGGGTTACAGGAGTGATTCTGTTAGGCACTAGCTACTGGTAATGAGGTTTTTAATTTCCAAGGTAGCCACATGTAGCCTGCTGCGGGCAGTTTTGATAGCTGACTAGCTTATACAATGTAACAGTGTCCATTAAGAAAGCTTTAGCAGTAGACCCTGAGAACTGGGAAGGGCTCCTGATTGATCGTGCCTCAAGGAAAATCCGCTTCAGCCAATCAAAAGTACTACCCATCTCTGGGCAGTGGCTCAACTGACACCAGTATGAAATTTCTGCCTCGTTTGTTCCTCACTGACGTCATTTCGCAGGGAAACCAGTGGTGGCATCGCAAAATGTTATGACTGTTTTTCTCAGGCTATATAAACTGAAACTATTGTTGAGTTGTTTCAATGTTGTTGGTTTAGTTAACCAACCCTGTTTGTCAGTTCTCCTTTTCTTAAAATTCATTCTGCAGAGTAAAACAGCTGTCAAGTGGGTACCCTGTGCACAGCTTTACCTAGTGGTAACTGAAAAAATAATGGTTTGTTTGGCCACACAGGTCATGATGGGAATTATTTCAACAGGAATCACGGAAGGAAAGGGTCGAGCTGGGGTAATGATTCCTATCCCTGGATATGGCATGTATCAGGCGAGGCTACTGCAACACAACACACACCAGGTAATACCTATTCGTGTCACTTGGCGTCGCTTCCCGCGCAGCCTGTTCCAGGCGTTCAAATAGTAGAACGCAGTGTTTGAGTTAAATCGTACGCGGAGGAAACGAGGGGAGAGTGGGGCGAGAGCGAAGGAACTTTCCCTCTCTAGTCTCTCCTGTTTTTTTTTTTTTCCTCGTCAATTTTTGGACCGTGCTTTATTATCTGAACGGCTAAAACAGGCTACTTCCCGCGAGAAGTGACACGCGTGTTGCGTCGCATTTTTAGGAGTTGTTTTCACTATCGTTCACGCATTTTCCTCTACTTAACCTGCGTAGCTGGAAGGTTTGTCTGGGAGGGGCAGCGGAAAAAAGTGCGAGGAGAGTAGAGTGCTTGCACACGCTTCGCTCGTGCTATCGCGGCTTTACTTCGCTTTTCACGCTTGCTGACCAGTCTAACTAGGCATGTATCAGTAACTGTTAAGAAGAAAGAGACTTAAGACTCTAGAAGATGGCTGTAAATTTGAATTAAATGTTCGCATCGCGAAAGTCTACTACTGTATTTTCCATGCAGATTTTCCATCTTTAAGAGCCGTTGGCGCGTGCGAATCACTACTAGAAAAACAAAATATTACAAAACAAAAAACGCCTTGTGGTGTTTGAGCAAGTTAGCTTCTTCCCTGCCTGTGCAAAATTCGTCCAACTTTGGCTGATTTTCACTTAAACCACGGTGACGGGCCGGTCGTACTCGGAGTCGTAAACGGGTTCATAGGCTTAAAGGGAGGAATCGGAGTCCCAAAGCAAGAATCGGAACGTTTTTATCTTCCGACTCCGCTTACGACTCCGCCGCTTACAGTGTAGTGAAAACGGGAGGAATAAACCAATCGCAATACTCGGTCCCAACCACTGTGGCATGTTGTGAAGGATTGATCTGTCGCTCGTTACAAGTGCGACAACCTTGTAGTTGTCACTACTGACATTGTAAGCAACGGAGTCGTATGCGGAATCTGACTTCTTTTTCACTCGATCATAACGCTTTGCACTTCTAATTACGACTAGTGAAAACTGGACCAGCCTTAAGAGTTCCCGAAACTATCCGTCAACCGAAGTAAATTTAAGAACTTGGTTCCAGTTTTGTTGCAGCAAGAATTTGTTACTTCAAACTTCGGCATTCTTCCTCAGAGACCCCAGGAGAAAATTACGTTCTACTCAAGTTTTTATTTATTTTTTATCCTGAAGACTGGTATTTTACCTTCTTGACGAAGACAACAGCTGGGGTTTGAATATGTCTGAACTAAAGAAAAAGCTGGATGGGGCAAGGCCGCACTGTTTACCAAGAGCCCTCGTGCTGATAAATCCAGGCAATCCAACAGGTACGTTGAATGTTTATCGATTTGTAATACGTGCAGTAATATTAATGCAGATGATGATGATGATGATGATGACGATTATGATGATGATGGTAATGGTAATAAAATTTCTCTATTTACTCTCGACATTGTTTTACCACACAGTCAGGTTAGTACGTTCGAGCTTTCTTTTTACGGGGTGTCTCTTATAAAAGGGTGTTCGTTATACCAAGGTGTTAGCTATATAGGCGTTCTTTTTACCGGGGTGTTTTTTTTCCTCCTTTTTTTTATGAATTCCTCCTTATACCGGGATGTTCACTATCTAGGCAGTCGTTAAACTAGGGTGTCCGTTATATAGAGATTCTACGTTAAACCGAGGTGTTCGTTACATCAGAGTTTAACTATAAAATGTAAACTTGTTCTGTCCTTCGTTTATCCATTAACTTTTGTCACGTTTGCTTCTTGTTTATATATAGGTCAGGTGTTGACGTATGAAGACATTCAAGAAGTAATCAAGTTTTGTGCTCGTGAGAAATTAGTTTTATTCGCCGATGAAGTTTACCAAGACAACGTGTACGCTGAGGGAGCCCAGTTTCACTCGTGCAAAAAACTCCTCAAAGACCTGGGAGACGAGTATAGCGGATTTCAATTGATCTCTCTTCATTCCAGTGCCAAAGGGTACACATTCGAGTAAGTTGTGCGTGTGTGTTTTTCCTCTTGCTTGTTTGTTTTTGTGGCCACCTTCGGGTAGTAGACAAAAATGATTTAGTGCCAATTTTGTACCCTTGGGCTCTGTTTGCCGGGCTTATTTGATTACACATACATAACCACAGACAAACCATAATTAACCCTTGCACTCCCAATAACAAATTACAAATTTCCACTGAAATTTCTTGAACAGTCGTCACGTGCTCTTTCCAACTATATTTTTGTAAACGGTAAACAACCTTGCTCTCCATCATGGCGGTTTCGTACCATGCCAATGACAAGCTGCAATGGGTCAATATTTCATCTACTGCGGCTACTGGACTTTCTTCATTGCTGTTCCTTGCAGATGTGGGCTCAGAGGTGGATATATAGAGCTGGTAGGATTCAATGATCAACTCAGGTCTCGAGTTAAAACTTACCTGAGTGCAAGAAGTTGCCCTTCCACAATAGCACAGGTACGAATAATGTACGTCATGTAGTGAAATGGGGCAGAGGTCCCTAATGAAAGGGCTGCCTCAAACCCTAGTCCACAATTTCCGCTTTGAATTCCTGGAAAAACCTCATTTAATACCTTTCGTTAGAGCAAAAGTATCTTTGTGCTTCTAAGATGATTTATTAACATCTCCCAAGTCCTAGACAAGCCTGGTTGCTTGTGTTTCTCTTTTCGTCATATTGGCTTTGTGTTGTTTCTTCCTCTTGTTGTTTTGTTTTGTTCTATGGTGGTCAGGGTATTAGGCAGTTAAGCAAAAAATTGCAATAGTTCAGATGTAACTTCATGGTACTTAGGCGTCTCACACTATGCGCAAAGAATGGCGGGATAGTGAAAGATGGCTTTGCTCTCCTTTCTTACTCTTCCCTTTCCTAGTCCCTAGGCCTCATTTTTCCTCGCGGCCAAAGCATTTCGGGTCACGTGGTCCATGCGAAAATGTGAGGGCGTTTCCCGCCCGTTCGCCTCGGATACGTCCTCGAAACGAATTGACCGAGAGGGACTGGGAAAACGCCGTACAGGGACTAGGCAAACTCCTCCCATAAAGCTTCGTGCTTCTCTTATTTCCAGTCATTCGCCTTGTGTCGCGCGAGTCTCGAAGCGCTTGCAGAGGAAGCTGTTAGTGCTTTATTGTAAGGTACTCAAACTGTACTCATTACGCTTGGTTTCTAACCCAAGGTAATCATGGGACTCACTTGCAACACTCCCATGCCTGGCGATGAATCATATGAAAAGTTTTCAAAGGTATGCACTGTAACTTAACCCAGAAAAACTCACGCGCCAAGCGTGATCATAATCAGTGCTACTTTATCGCTCGTGTAATTTTTTTAAGGGGCTCTGTCACGGCTGACTAGTTTATATGGTTGATAATGACAATAACGAGTCATTATTCGCTATGTAACTTGAGAACTTAGTACTTAGTTGTGAATGACAGAATTAATAGCGTCGTATTATTCTTTTTTCAGCTTGTGTCTAGTGCTCAGGCTGTAACGCGTTCCAGGTTTTAACGAAAATGTAACAATTTGAACCGTAGCTTTTCACGATACATATAAAAGCAGTGAAAAATATAATACTTAGTCAGGTGACGCCTCTAATGCCTGCCTGCCTGCCACGGGATAGCCGATTTAACAAATAAAGCTTGTTCCTCTTACCCTGGGTACCAGACGTTTTTCTCGCGGGTGGCCGGATCCTTCGGCCTGCGGGCCGAAGCCACGAGTGGTGTCGTGCATGAAAAGTCTCTGGCACGCAGGATAGGTTTCCATTGATTCTTTTGCCCAAACAAATCGTGAGATTCGAGTCTTACACAAGTAAAGTTTGCCAAGTACTGAAGTCGCTAAGGGACTAGGTCGAGTAAACAATAATGTCTATTTTCTCCTGGAAAATTCGGCAATCTTCTTATAAATGTATAGAAAATGATCTTTAACTGCGACGCACTAGGGAAATCTATAGAGGTGATTACATCCAGTATTCCCATATCTTGCCTAATGCATTATTTTGTGTTTTATCCGTATTACGGGAAGTAACATCCATCAAGGATTCTTACAAGAAGAAAGCAAAGATGACAACGGAGGTTCTTAACTCAATGGAAAATGTTAAGTGTAACGAGGTGGCAGGTGCAATGTATGCGTTTCCAAGGATAACACCTCCAAAGAAAGCTATCGAGGCAGCCAAGGTATCATGTCTTGTTTCCGGCCCTGATTTCTAGTACAACCACACTGCAGAATACTGTCAGTAATGGATATCCTAGGTGTACGGTAATCCGGATTCCGGAACCCGGGAATTTTTTTCTTGTAGACTGATTCGGAATCAGTTCTGGGGTTTGAAATTCGGAATTCAGACCCGGTTGTTCAAAAGATGGATAGCGTTATCCACGTGATAAATCTCTATCCAGTGGATACGTATTAGCGAAACCAATAGGTCCTTTGCAGCTAGCCATTCACGTGGTACAAAACCGCCACGCTGGAGAGCAAAAGCCGCACTGGGACATGACAAACAAAGGACATACATAATTCTAAATTGTAATTTTCTTTGTTTGTCTTGTCCCAGTGCGACTTTTGCTCTCCAGCACGGAGGTTTTATACCACGTGAATGACTTGCTGCAAAGAGCCTATTGCACTATCCACTGCGGGATAGAGATTTTTCCCGTGGATAGCGTTATCCACCTTTTTAACAGCTGGGGCCTGCTCTATATATAACGAGTGGAATCTGAAATCCACGTTTCACGGAGAAGGAGTACTGGATCCACTACCTGCCATCCGGGATCTACAGCACAAAATCTGGAATCCACACGTGCGATCCAGAAGCCAAGATTCTCGTGGATGCACCTTATATTAGAAGAATGCCAACCCGTTTCCTGCTGTGTTAGTTTTCATAAAAGGCGTTCTTCGGTTAGAAAAAGTGAAAAGGACGCTATAGGCTCCCATCTTATTCAGGCTGCTGATAATGTCCCGCGACAATTAAAATTTCACTTTCTCAACTTTCCATATTGCATTGCTAAATTTCATAGTCGTATTCATCTAGTACCAGCTCCTTGTCAAGGCTTCATGTAGGGATTCTTTGAAATACAGATATTCCCCTCACAAGGAAAGTATCTATGTGGTCTGTTTGGTGAGCGAGGTGTCAGGGTGGGTGGACAAAAGCAATGTGTAGATATTGTTTGAGTTTACTTTGTTGTTTGTATTGTCATTGTTATTTAGGCCAAGGAAATGCCACCAGACGAGTTTTACTGTTGGCAGGCGCTGGAGAAAACTGGAATTTACATGATTCCTGGCCAGGTTTTTGATATGAAAGGCAGCGGTAACAACTTTCAGTGAACTTTTACTACAGGTAAGATTTGAATTAACAAGGGCGATCAACTTCAGGCCGGAATTTTGATGATTTTAAAAACCTCCCTGTTATATCATTTGCGCCCTTGTGTCACAAGGTTTTCAAAGGCTTGTCTGATATATTTAGATTGATTAGATTGAATGCACATTTAAATTTGGAAAGACCGCTCTCCCCAACCCCCTCCTTCCCACCACCACTACCACCACCACCAACAACAACAACAACAACAAAATAACGGATCATTATAGGTTTCTGGGAAACTGACCACCTACCCCTCCCCTAAGCCATCATTTTGCCCCAAGTGAGAAGTAAAAAAGGTGTTAATGTTGGCTTAGGGGAGGGGTAGGTGGTCAGCTTCCCAGAAACGTCTAATGATCCAAAATAAACAGTCAAAGAATAGAACCGAAAAGGTTGTCGATAAGAATCCTATAGTACATTGTAAATTAATTACAATGTTTCCATTTTTTGCTCCGGTAACCAATTCAATCAGAACACATTACTCCCCTCATCTTGTACGTTCGCGGAATCACCCATCTAACTGGTAGGTTATAATCATTGATTATGGATCCGCGTTCGTCTTATTCTACTAGCATGACATCTGCACGAAAACGAGGCTAAAGGAAACGAAAACTAGTCCAAAGGAGTCCAGTTTCCTGTGGCCGAGTTCCCCCTGATAAAATTAATAGGGGCGGCTAATCGGCAGTCGCCCGCGATAACTCGAAAAAGTCTGCCTTCGTACCACAGGAACACCAAATTAGGATGCGTTCTGACAAACGCAATAAGGGTATACACAGATCAGCCTATAGCCGGGGTGGTGTGGGCTTAGTGGAGGGCCTGCAACTGGAATAAAGTTGTTGTTTTCAAATAGAAGGACTCACAACCGGGATTATACGGTATGGACCAGAGCATAAACTTACTTGGGAAAAAGCGTCCTAAAAGCGACTTGTCCGTAAAAGCGACGTTCTGTCAGCGTGTGAAAGTCTGATCGAATTGGACCAAGTTTCATCTCCACATTATGGCTTAACATAATCCAAAACGGTTTGATTTTTCAGACCCACTATCCATACGAAGGAAATAACTTAAAACGGTTTCATGTTTTAATCTTTCTTGGTAGGATCACTATTCTTCCTTCTGAAGAGACGTTCGCTCCAATGTTTGAGCGACTAAGAACCTTTCACCAAGAATTCATGGCGCAGTTTAAGGACACGAACTGACAAGATGGATTTACTGGATTTAGTTTCCAGTGATGACAATATTCAGTCCAGACTATTTGATATGTCTCCATCCTCATTTATCAGGGGAAAGTTTTCTGATGTAAAATATATGTTTGAAGAAGCAAAACTGTTGTTTATAAATTTCTATTTCTCGAGAAAGGCTAAATAGTTTTGATGACTCTTCATTTGTCTATGATTTTCAAAGTTTTTCAATTGACTTCCCTTCCGAGATTTGGCTGTATATTATCCTCTCAAAAAAAATACCCGGAAATGTTCAACAATAGTGTCAGAAAGAGTCTTGAATGTATCTGGCAAGCTGTACAGAAATGTCCTTAACCACACAACGAGGAAAAACAACATTCTTATAATCGCTCTCCTAAAATTGGCGTGAAAAAAAAAAAGACACATTTAACAATCTTCTGACTTTTTCCATCTTTAGGACACTGAAGTGTGCTTTTCCCATTTCAGCGTTTTTCCGGCCCATTCCTTGAGATATCCCAGGCAGAGATAAGAACGTAAAGAAATCCTGTTTATATAAATAGCAACTTTATTGAAGTCTTTTAAAATGCTGATTTTTAATTACTAACAGAGGTGTTTTACCTTCAAAACAAGTCTCATTATGAAAGTACATATCGGGTTGTGAAATAACAAATTAAGAACTAAACAACTTCTGCGCTTAATGTACATAATGGATATATTTCATATTTTGCGACCACAATCATAATGACTAACTCTAAACAAGGAAATGTAAAGGATATCTTTTCATTTTGTAAGCATACTAAACGTGACGAAAAGATAAACGAGACTACTAACCGGCTCTATATTTAGTTGCAGTATTTGACGAAATACTGTGGTTGAACTCATCAATGGTTTAGATTTTGTTTTCCTTTGTGTTGCGGTATGGTTATGTACGACTGAGAATCAGAGTTTAAAACAAAGGAAAAACGCATTTGAACCAAGGAAAAAATTGCACTACAACATTTATTTGCGGCCTTTTTATCGAACTTTAAAGGCTGCAATAATAGTATACAATCAACTACAGTAAACTGTTTTTTTTTGTCATTAAGATGACGAAATCATAAGTTGGATTCCAAGTGTTAAACAAAGTACATTAAAGCGCATGAAGAGGAATAACTTGGGCATTTTGTCTTCGTTGACGTTTAAATAACAGCAGGAGAGCTTTCCTGAACTCTGGCATTTTGATTGTGTAAACGACGGGATTAACAAGCGAGTTCATCAAATATAGAATCGTTAAAGAAAAGTGCAAATGTAGTTCTAATTCCTGGAAAGAAAGGAATTTCACGATACCAAGAAAAACAAAAGTATAAACCGCATATGGTAGCCACATCAGTAAGGATACGATAGTCGTTATGAATAATGTTACGGTCAGTTTCCTTTCTCTGTTGGCTGCACCATGGTGCTGGGGATGCGCTCCACACAAAAATTTAACAATAATGATGGAGTAAGAAACACAGATAACAAATAGACACAAACAACAGTATGATTGCGTAAAGTAAATACCAAATAAATATTCTCTAAATCGAAGTAGTGGAATTAAGCACATGGCAGTTACCATTGCAGCTAAAACCCAGACACCAGCAATTGTTACCCCGTAGACCCACTTTTTGATGAGGCGATGCCTGAAGGGACGAATTGTTGCATGCAACCGATCTAATGAAATCACTGCAATGTTTGTTAGAGAGGTCAGAAGAAACCAGATTTTGAGAAAGAAAATTATCACTAACAGTACTAACAGTTCCTGGCTTAAGTTCATTTTCACAATGTCGCATAAGCATGATAAGATTACAAATGGAACGGGGAGATAAAATCCTCCGACAAACATATCAGCTATGGTCAGGTTTATAACTAGGTACGTGGCACGAGTGCGAAGACTGCGGTTTTTTATGAAAAGAGCAATTGATATAAGGTTCACTGTTACTATAGCAACACACACGGCAAGGAATACAGCAAACCAGGTGATGCACTCGGATGAAGAAAACATCGTGGATTGTTTTCTTTTATACTTCTTTTCGCTTCACACTTTTACCCGTTCTCCTCGGTTGTTCGTCTACCTTAAGAAAGAATTTGAATTGAATAAAGTTTGATTACTTAAAAAAGAAAAGTAGGAGGTGAACAAACAAGGTTGACGTCTGTTTTTCAAAGATCAGTAATGAAGATGCATGAATAATAATTCGACGAATTAGGAAGCTCACCTTTAACTTACAGTTTTTCAAATTGCCTTCACAAAAGCTGAAGTGAAAACCCTTGTTTTCACCTGTGGACAAAATAAAAATGACGTTTGAGGGAAGATTAGGATAAATTAGTTGACTAAAAGCTGAGGGCATTAAATTTCGTTTCAGCTGAATGTTTTTAAAACTAATTAACTTCAGCGCTTGTTCACGTGAGTATAATAATAATAATAATAATTATTATTATTATTAAAATGGTGGTGGTTTATTTACAGCGTTTCCAAAGAAAATGGCTCTACATCTGCTGATAAAATATAATTATTATAGTATATCTAAGCGATTTTTGGAAAACCGACCTAACGAAATTTGCAGTCATTTGACTGAAAAGGCGTCAAAAGGCAGGTTTCTTACGCCCGAGAACGGCTCCAAAATCACAGTAGCGAAGGAAAAGGAAAGGAGAAAAAGAACTGAGAACGATGGAAGAGATCAGGAAAGGAGGAGAAGAAAAAAAGCAATGGTTGCACTCTTAGTTTTTATAATGAGCTACTTTGGATATAGTTTTTGGCCGAAAAAAAACTGTTGGACGAAAAAAGGTCCATTTGACGATAACGTTTTCAAAAATCCGGCTAGATATATACAGCTAAACATATGTTATTACATCAGGAGCAAAAAATGTTCGCGGTAAAATGCAAAAGGTACTACTAACTAACTAGTTAACTAACGATCTAACTGTGGCTAAAATTGTACTTGAATCTATTACATTAATACTTTTTTAACATTTTTATTTCGCTCTTTAAAAATATAAAAGGTCTGTTTGGTATATAGGGAGTAACTGATCACCAAAATGAAAATGTGACTATCATTTCAGTTAACCCTTCTAAGACAATCAAATGTCCATAGTGAGACCGGAAAAAAAATAAATGTTTCTTGCGAACTCTTCGTGAACAATTTCACTCGGTTAAAAAAGCTGAAATTTCTCATGAAAATATGACTGAAGAGGGCCTTAAGTCGCTGCTTATTAGCTCGGACAATCCTTGTATTTAACATTTTCCATTACAAGTATTTTTAGGTAAGTATATATTATAGTGAGGAGGAGAGAAACATCGCTCTACAACCCGCCCACCATATCCGACGCCGCCTCTCTCCAAAATTTACTCAAACCATTTAAAGATATCTTTAAGATTGTTGTTTTAAAAAGTAGCTCTGCAAATGCGTTCTATGAAATTCTATAAAATTTGTATCTGTTTGGTCATCCTTGGGCTTCTTCATTCGATGCGAATTTATTAACACGCTAGCACTTTTTCGAAAATCTTTGATGCTATTAAATATACAAAAAACTCAACATTTTCCGATGTACATCTTTCCGTTACTTTCCGTTACCCAAAATTTATTATAAGTAGTCCATTTTTGCGAATGATGACCAAATATTGGAAGACAAGTGAAAAGTGAAAATCCCATTCCCAACTTCTATCATAGAAGTTAATAGACTGAAAACTTCGAAAAACTGAGATGAGTGATACATTCATCCATGAATTTTTAACTTTTTTCGAGCTATAGAAATCTCTAGATAATATGTGCTTCTTCGAACAGCTATTTCATGAAAAGACTGAAGGTCCACTAGATGTGCTAAATATAGGACTTTGGTTAAACATTAGTATAATAAACATTGCAGGTAAAACCCAGACAAGAGCAGCAATTGTTACCCCGTAGACTCACTTTTTAATGAGTCGATGCCTAAGGGCTGTATAGGGACGAATTGCTGCATGCATCTGATCCAATGAAATTACTGCAACGTTTGTAAGAGATTTCAGAGGAAACCAGATGAAGAGAAAGCCAGTTGTTATTGTCAGTTCCAGGGTTAAGTGCGGAAATTGCACAATGTCGCTTAAGTAGAGTAAGGTTACAAATAGAGAAAAGTGAGAAAATTCTCCGACAAACATATCAGCTATGGTCAGGTTTATAACTAGGTACATGGCACGAGTGCGAAGACTGCGGTTTTTTATGAAAAGAACGATTGATATAAGGTTCACTGTTACTATAGCAACAGACATGGTAAGGAATAGAGCGAGCCAGGTGATGCACTACGATGATACATGGCTTGTTATTTTTTTCGCTTCACACTTTTAATTCCCTTTTTCTCTCTGTTGCTTGTCTACCTTTCAGGAGAATTTGAAAAAAATTTCAATTAAGAACGTGGACAAAGAAGATTGATGTTAGTTCCGCAAAGATCACTAATGGAGATACATTAGGACGTTGATCGACAGTATCGGTTGCTGGGACTGAACGATTTTGTTTTTATTCCGCAAGCGTCTCTGCTGAAACAAAGGAAGTTTAATGGTGTTTTCCTGTTTTGTAAGCTATAAAAGTTATCATGTAAAGGGAACTCTTGATTTTAAACAGCGAATGGTCAAGGAACTTTCAGAGCTACTGCTGACAATAAATCATAGTTTTTCTACGTTGATGAAAACTATACATAAACAATTATATGAAAGAACTAAGATCATCGCAGTCATAGACGCAACTGCAAAAGGCTTTCTTTTCCCAACTACAAAAGTTGCGTCTACAACTGCGATGATCTTCTTTCATATAATTCTTCACCCCACAGTTCCCATATATGATTTTCATATATTTGGATAACTTTATACGTAAACAATTTCACTCGGTTAACGGAACTCAAATTTCTCATATGAAAATATGAAGAGAGCCTAAGTCGCTTTCAGCTCGGCTAATCCCTGTATTAAAACATTGCGAGCATTTACGTGTTAAGGCAATTATATAGTGAGGAGCGAGAGAAACATGGCGCTGCTTGAAACAACCCACCATACACAAAGCCAGCCTTCTCAAAAATCCTATTATAATCATTTTAGGATATCTTTTTAGATTGTTTTTAAAGCTTTGCAAATGCTTTCTAAGAAGCACTATCAGATTTTTATCTGTTTTGTAATTCTAAGAGCTCCTTAGTCTATGCGAATTTAATACCTCCTTCTTATTACTGTTCCAAAAATATTTAATACTTTTGTATAGTTTACTGAAAACTCAACATTTTGCGATACCTCTTTCCGTTACTGTTTCCAAGGCCAAAAATTTTAGTAGTCCTTTTTAGGAATGATGATCAAACGTGGGAAGTGAAAGGTAAAAAACGAACTTCAGAATATCGTAGAAAAATTAATGGACTTAAAGCTTCAAAAAACTGAGACGAATGGAAATTTTTTATCTTGAAATTTTTTTCTCGAGCTATAGAAATTTCCAGACAGTTCTGTGCCTCTTCGAATAGCTTTTCTACAGAAAAAAATTCAACCGTTGCGCCGGTCCCTACCAAATGTTTGAAAAGGTCAAAAAGTCCTATGAATGTCCTAAACAGTCGTCTATTAGTAGGACTTACGTTTAAAGATATGCGGTTCTTAAATAAATGCTCAACTCTACGATAGACTTGCATTTTCTTTTCTTCTTGTGCGTAACTAACCTTTCACAAATTTCTTTGCTGGATGCTTCCACTGACGAAGCGGAAAACGAGTTTGCAAAATATCAATTAGGCTTGTAAAAGGCTTCTGCGTTGGATGTTACTCCTGCGAAGAATAACGTCCGGCTCGATTAATACGGTCTTAAATTATCTGAACACCTGTTTTGGGAAATATTGCACTTAAAATAAAATTCTTAAATAATGGCCTTGGCTTATCATTTTTCCGCTTAATATACGTACCGCCTTTAAAAAAGGTTCTGAATTAAACTTTCAGTTGTTAAATTGAACTTCCTCTTTCAATCAGCCCACATTAAATGGACCCTACTTGATCGGCACTCACAATGATTATATCGCCGCGCGGTCTATCATTCGAGCACTAAACGAACACGAACCGTTTCTTTCAATTGTATTTTTTTTAACTTGTATATAACTAAAGCTCCGTTAAAACATTATTTGATCTGTAATTGTCTGATAAAAGTATGCAAAAATGCTCACCTTAACTAAAAGTTTTTCAGTTGGTTGCTTGCTTTGTCCTATGGAAGAAAATATCAAAGGCGTGTGAGGAGACATTACAATCAGTTGACTTAAAACTGAGGGCGATAATATAAATGTTTGATATATAGTTTTCAGCTGAATAATTAACTAACTGACGCCGGCGCTTGTTCACCTGAGTATAAGAATGACTCACCATTTCAGCAAACCCTTTTAAGACAATCAATATTTATCCATAGTGAGAACGGAAAAAGTCGATTGCATTGTCAGTTATCCTCTACCAATTTCAAAGTCAACCGAACTTCTTGTCATGTTAGCTCCATAAATATTTTTTGTGTGACGTAGCTTGTGTCAAATGAATTTGTCACCATTTTCTTTAAAACTCAATCTTCAATGTTTTTTGTCTTGTGACTCCAATACGGGTCGCGACAAGTTCTTCCGCCAAATCAATAACAGGCCCGTAGCAAGCATAAAATGAGTGGGGGGGCTGAGCGAGTGGCTCCCGTTGACTCCCCCTCCCCTGCTTCGGTCCCTCGGTTAAAGCATACTTCTTGGTACATGTCACATCACTACATTTGTCTACAATACCTTTTGTTTTTATCTCTAATTTTCCGTTTGTGTTGACTTTGACGAAATAGAGAACTTGTTTGGATATCGTTCGCAGAAAAACTTGCCAGACAATTTCTTTTGGGTTGTGCTTTGATTGGGATTCTTTCTTCGACTACACCAGGCTTTGTGTCACTAGTTCATGCTTATACCCACGATAAAAGTGTTCCCTGCTTATTTTCTACTTGTTTGGATTTCTTTTTCGGCGGCTGTTGCGAAGACATTGTAAGACTTTCAATATAAACACGCAAAAAC